CGGTGGATGAGTACAGCTCCTTTTGCTTTGCACCACCTCCCTCTTTCTGCTCTTCTTGCACAGGTAGATGGGAAATGCTATTTCTATCAGGCAGGTACCGTCGATAATCCGGGTGTGTTTGTTCTTGGTCTCTCCCTCGGCCGCTTCGTGCCATGCATACGCCACGAACTCTTTCCCTCACCAATACTACGACAAGGAAGGGCACTGGACGATGGGTGGGTGTGCCTTGCCCAAAATGATTCCAGCGAGAGCGAACACCCACAGCTTTTCTTGTGGACGCAAAAAAGCCCACTAACCAAACGCTCTATGCGTCGATGCCGTGAACGGCGGGGAAACTACTACTACTGCCCGATAATCGCTCGGTTCGCTATGAGCCATCTGCCCGCGCAGAGCACAGCAGTGAGTGGTGGCGCTCCAACTCCCACTCGGTAAACAGTTATGTTTGTTGCGGTTCGCAGCGTCCAACGCAGAACAGGCGGCACGAGGGTTCCCTCCTTAACACCTTCTTGAGCTACCGAAAATAAATAAATGTCAAACCATCTAGATTAGCTAGATAGACAGACCAATCAGCGCTGACTGTTCTGCTACAATGCTACAATGCCTTGACTTTCCGTCGCCTACAAATGCCGCGACATCGACGAACTCAACGGAGTATTCTTAAGCATACCTAAATACATTTTGAGGGTTGTCGCCCAAAACACAGGAAGAGCGAAGCCGAAGGCCGGTGGGTGCCGAGCTCTTCCGCGCACGAACAACACACAGTCCGCCTTCGCAAGAGATCAAGTCAACAAGAATGAGAAAATAGAACAGGGAAGGAGGTACGCAGACCCTGTCTATCCCTAAACCCGAACCTCAACCAAACTTTCCCGAGCGCATGCTTTATTCAACATACAGACTGGACAGAAAAAAACGGCGAAGTCTATTTCGCCTCTCCACCCCCCGGTGTTTGCAATCGGGATTGGGTTTTCGTCGCTTGGCACCGACGTTGTAAAACAAGCCAATTCACTTCGTGAACTCGGCAACCAGGTTACCGTGTTATTTTTTACCTCTGTTATTTTTTGGCGGTAACCATAATGAATGGTGGTCGAGTGGATAATGTTGTGCGGGGTCGAGAACCCTCACTCCGCGCAAGGGGGATGATCGCACCACGTTGTGTTAAAATGGTCAAGCACCCTCGAGGCAGTTACACAGTGCTTACAACTGTCTCTGGAAGTG